TATTTGGGGGAGAGTAAAAATGAGAAGTAGAGATTCCTTTTCCTAGTGTAAAGAGATTTATTTTGTACAAAGACATGTTGTAGCCGGGTAAGATAAAAATGATAAAGAAATGGAGAATTACGGTAAAAAGAAAGTGAAAAAGGGCAATGTGGATAAGGTCAGAAAGTGAAGCGACCAATTAGTTTCTTTTCTCCAAGAGTAAGAAGTAACCTACTCCCAATGGCTTTGGTATCAAATGTGTTTCCAGACTTGGGTAGTCCTGGACTGCAGGAGAGAATAAACTGAGAAGGTTTCACAGGTATTTACTGGGACTGCTGTACCAGGCTGGAGGGCTGAGTTGGCTAATATTAACTATGATTATGGGTACATCATCTAGCTGCTGTGAGCCCCCACTTAACCTGTAGAGTGGTGTAACATTTCCCCAATATTGTTATTTTGTTGTTGTTGTTGAAGCTGACCAGCGAATGTGTGTGCAAGTGCTTTGAAAAAGTGGTATACAAATGCAAAATTCCTCTATGCAAGCTAGGCGTTTGAGAGCAATAGGAAGCCATTGAGATGATTTAAATAGGGAAAGGGGGTGGCTGCATCGGGTCCTGCCGAGATGCTGTGGGAAAAAGGATCACCGTAAGGCTGGGATGGAGTTTATTCACCCTTGGATTTGAGAGAAAAAGCTAAGTTCAGAAATTTACTCACGCATATGTTACTCCGTGGCATAGGTCATTTAATTTCTGAGATTCCGTCGCCTAATTTGTAAAATAGGGAAACTAATAAATTACTACACGTATGCTGTGAGGGTTAAATGAGAGAAATACAGAAAGTACCTAGCACAGTGCATGGGTACTGTACAAAACCAGTAAATATTAGTTCCTTCCTACCTATCTACTTTACCTTTCAGTCGTTAGATCATTAAAAGAACATTGAGGGCCCAGTCTGTGCTGGGTACTGTGTCGGTTACCATGACGGCAATGGGAGTAAAGCAGATGTATTCACTTCGCTTGAGTCACGGGGCTGAAGTCAGGCCAATGTGGCCGAAGCTCAGAAGGCTCTTGAGCTGCGGTGGCAGGCAAAGGGCAGATGGCTTAGGAGAGAATTTTGTCTTTAACCTGAATAGCAATGATAAGCCATTGAAGTACTTTAAACAAGTAGGACAGCAGTCTGAAGTTAAGAGTGGAGTCAGAATGGATTTTGGAATAACTGGAGATTTTTGCATCTGCCAGTGAAAGTTAATGATAGCTTGAATCGTGTATCATGCATGTGATAGAAGATGGGAAGGCGAAAACACATTTCATACAGATTTGGGAGATAAAATGAAAGTATTTAGTGTTTTAGCTGATAGAAAGGGATGCCATGAGGGAAATGGTTTTCACAAATCCAAGACCTCCCCTCCATTTCCTCTATCACCCACTTGTAAATCTATTTTTGCCTATTTCCTCATTGCTTTTCTTGTCTAGTAGAGGGTCTACTAATCAACATCAAATTTAAGGGAATCTCAGTAAGTTTTCAATCCATCCACCTTCCCAGTTTCTTATTCATTAGTTGTGATTTGAAAGTAAGAAGTTTAATTGTAAGCTTCAAATAAGAATCAGTGATTGACCCTCCTCTTTTCAGGATTTCTTTGAGGATGAATTAGATGAAGGAAGTGTGATTCTCACATTGGTTCCAGTTAATGGGCAACCTAATGAAGAACATCAAATGGAACCAAGCATTTCTTCAATCTCGGAAGCAAACCTGGGGACTCCTAGGACAGATGATAAAGGTATGAGGACAAGAATTGCTGCGTTTGCAGCTCTTCCAGCTCTGGGAAACCCAGGAAGAGTAAGGTTTTCCTTCTCTATC